GTAAAGCTCCACTGCAAAACAAAGAGCCTTGAGACAAGCAGAAGGACATCCATGAGTGGAAAGCAAGAGATCTGTTGCAGAAAGCAAGCATCTTTGACATCAAAACTCCCAGAGGGTACACAGAGAGGAAGAAGTTAAAAGGGAGATAACAGAGCACTGGGAGATGGAAACCAAGCAGACAAGAATGAGACTGGAGCAAGCACTCATTTCAATTATAGGAGACACACGGGAAATAAGTTTCCAGCTTTACTTAATTTCTTTCACTGCAGTAAATGGATTACCTAATAGACTGCACATTCAGTTCATCGGTGAGTTTGGGACTAGGAGTGGCAGTCCATACTGAAGCTGCTAAAAAAGGGTCTATACAAAAAGAAAGTGTAAACTTTCCTAACATCATCTCCAGTGTGTGATCCAACCTGCTCTGCAACAAGTCGACAGCAGCACGGCAGGCACTTTCTAAAAAGAGAGATTGGATTCTATTTAGTCTACCCTCCCATCAATAAATGCAGACAGATTTTTATTGTCACTACAGTCTCCTGACACCTGAAGCATCTTTCCTGGGAGCAACAGTTCCTAGCTATTACCAAGAGGCATAGAGGCTGGGACAGAATGTATTTATTTCATCCTCAGCTGTTGCAACTGATCTCTTCCACCTTCTGTCCCTCCTTCCTGCTTTTCTGCCACCTTTGACTTCCTACTATCCACCTTTAAAAGTGCTCAGCTTTCCATCTCCATATGCAAGATGAGAAGAAAGGATTTTCTCCTATCGTTGAGGTGAGCATCTCTAGCTCACGTGCTCCACAGCAGGGCTGAACCAGACAGGCTCATTCTGGAGCTGCTCTTCTCTTCCCCCAGCCCCAAGGACAGAGTGGGACTGCCCCTGCCTTCTCCCACAGTCGATGGAGCTGGGAAAAACTCTTGGCTGAAAAATGTTTTTACAGGTAGGACGATCACACAGGTCCCATGCCAGCCCTGCGCGCCTTGTCTGCTGCAACACACGGAGAACCACCCTGCTGATCCTGCAGGAGCACTCGTGTTCTGGGCATGCTCATCATTTCCACTGATAAGCCTTTAAACTAAAAATAAATGAATCGATTTTGAATAGTGTCAGTGCAGAGAGCTGCCTTTACCCTGACTGAGCACTAGGTAGCACTGTCACTCTAAGAAAGCACAGAGAAGCACATCAACATTGCAATTGCTTTTCCCTTCTGACACCAAAAAAAGAAAGGACTGCGTTATCAGAGCAAAACACGTATTTGTAAAACTACTCAAAATACACCTGCACTTGCAGCATCCTCATCACCTCTGATACACAACAGTGGAGTTTTTTCGAGATTTTCTTTTTGTCTTTTTTTTTTTTTAACATCACAATTTATGATCTGAAATCTTCACAAAGCAATACTGAGATTTTGCACAGATGTTTTATGTTTGCAATGATCTGATGTAAGAAAATATGATTAAAGATGATGATAGAACGCCTCCACAGAACGATCACTCAGTAGTCAAGTTATCTGGCGGTCTAGCAAATGATCCACTCTACCTATCACCACCTAAAAAAAAAAAATAGTAACCAGCAATAACTATCTGAACACAAGCCTCTTTAGACACTATAAACATTAAAGCTGGATTCAAGAGCACCAAAAAAATACGCTGGGTTTTTCATGACATTTGCAACTTGTTAGTAATTACTTTAGCAAGAGGTTCTGGATGGGTGTGTACTGAATGTCACTGCTCCAGCGCGGTCTCCAGGAGGCTCTATTTTGGTGGTGTGCTAAGAAATCTTCTGTACTTTCCAACACTTTAGAATGCATAATTTTATTTATAGTATGTAATTATTTTAGATTCAGCCCTCAGACTTTACTGCAGGTACATTATTTGTATGTGAAAGCTTATCCTCTCCAGAAAGAGTCTGACAGCAAACCATATGTTGAAAGGAAGTACTTTTCCTGCTAATTTAATCATGTTTGAGTTGTAAAATGCAGCTATGACTAAGGGGCTGTTCCTGGAGCCCCAAAGATTTTCTTCTATTCAGTACCTTGAGAATCCTAATGGTATTTTTTTTTCTCCTATGTTAATCACAGAGCAGCTTTAATGAAGCAAGGATAAGAATTAGAGTCTTCAGTGATTAGGCAATAGAGGGTATTTCAAAGCTCATATATGGGAAAAGATGATTTTCTCCATTTCTAGGGTATGGAAGGGAAAAAGTGCTGAATTTCCAGCTTCAACTGTAAAAGTCTCCTTCACCTTCTCTTATGCATGCCCAGCTATTCCCAAACCCTGACTCTCAGAACCATCATCTCAATGCAAACTGATGGCAAAGCTAGGAGCATTGAACATCATAAATAGAGGGAAGCTTTCAGCTTCCCTTCCCAAGGTTTGTGCAAGGTACTTGTACCTTGATAATGATACTGACATGACAAAGCTAAAAATAAAACAAAGTAATCTCTTCGTCCCCGTTTACCCCACTGATAAATTATAGACTGTTTCCATAAATAAGTTTAAACTTTCTGTTATGTCAGCAAAGATCCTCTTCCTGAGAAAACACATGCAGGATATGCACACCGCAACAAAATCAGAAGCCAAACTATGTATTTGAAAACAGGAGCTGGTGCAGGATCGACTGCTCTACAGATGTACCAGTACGGAAGGTGCAGATTAAGCAGAGTTCCTGTACCAGGTGGGACAAGTGCTCGTGATCTGTTTTTGCTGTCAAAGAGCAGAGAGATCGTTGGGAAGAATCTCTTCCCCTTCTCTGGGAACTAGGCTGTTCCCACATTCATGTCTTGACTGAATCAGAAACAAGAGGCAATATTCAGATTTATCGGCTGCGTTTGCACCTCTCTTTGAAGCAAGATGCTTGCTTACCATTAGAGGCCTATGTCCTACAGTTTGGGAATCTTTACCTTTTAACAGGGATAATCAGTACGTGTCATTTAAAGACACTATCTAGGCAGGAGAACTCCTTAAGTTCTGATTCAGATCTGAAATTTCTTTTACAATTGCAAAAAAATAAGCATAAGTGACACACACATCCTCCTCCCACCCCCTCAGATAAATAAAATCCAAGAAACCAATATCTCAGAGTTCTGGTAATTAAGGAAAGTTTTGCTGAATATAGTCAACAGCTAAAGGCAGGATTTTCTACATCTTAAAGATGGAGTCAGCCACAACTGACTCACTTTTCCCTCCTCTCACTGTCTCTTGAACCCCATCTGAACGAGCTAAAAACCTGGGCACCTTGCTTAATTTAAAAAAAAAAAAAAATTGCACTTAAAATTGCTGCTGCCTCTTCCCTCATTTGGTGCGTTAACACTTCTGTGCTACATCATGGAACCATTAAAAAAAAAACAAAACCAAAATAGCTAAATATTGCATATGATGGTCCCAGTCTCATATTCTTCCTACAAAAGCATCACTTCTCCCCAGTATATCTCACTATCCACACTTGCGAAACATCACTCAGTCTCAGACAAGCCAGGAAATTTCTAGCCTTCTACAAGTCAGTCTTGAAATTCAAGTGCAGAATTAGCACAAAAGCCTTCTGCATCGTTAGCTTAATTCAAGCATCTCTTTCAAGTACTACTTCTAGATCCCCAATAAAGTAAAAATAGATGATGATTTAGAAACCATAATTTCCAAAGGTACAGCTGATGGTGCTGCAAGAATGCAAGTTCTGTAAGGCACAGGGATGTATCAAATCCCACTGGAAAATTAATTATCAATTTTTTCCTATAAGCACACCCTTCTAAATTGGTCTGTGACACTGAATTGAGAGACCAGAGTTTGGAGTCTGCAATGAAACAGCAAGTACAGAATAAATTTTTTAGCACATTCTCAATAACTTCTCTCAATTGTGAGTATTTCCTAGCAGGGTTTCTATTAATCTCCTTCTAATATTCTCATGCAAGATTTAGCAAGTAAACACTGAATAAATGTGCTTTGGAACTGTATGAATAATTTCCTAGAGTACTACAGAACATGAAGGGACAAAGTATTTTGTGAGATTATTTTTGCTTTCACAAACAAATTAAACCTCTCTGAATTGACGACGTAAATAATTCAGCATTATTCCATTTACTAAATTGGGAAGAAGTGAGGCAGAGTGTACATCTTCAAGAGAGCAGTGTGTTTTGCAACAGAGAGATGATCCCCTCATAAAGAAGTCTCACAGAATAGCTCCAATTCATGCATTGCAGTTGTCTGAAAATGTTGATCCTACCAAAAGGAACACCCAAGACTGAAAAAAATCAAGGGAAAAAAAATTCTCCTCATCTGTACGTTTCATTATTCATTGACTGATAGTTTTGACTGTACTAACAGTAAGTCAGACGGGGCCTCCTAAGCCCTTCAGTGCTTTGAAAATCTCCTGTTTCCCTAAAGTCTGTTTAACTGATGTATCAGTTCCAGGAGGCAGTTTATGAACATGTGTGTGTGTGTGTGCGTGTGTGTACCTTGCTCATAGCCCCTCCTAAAGAGAACCTTCTAAAAAAATAAAGGATAAAGAAAATCCTTCAAAGGAGACTGTTTTCATCTGAAAAAGTAGGTGGTGCTACAAGGTACAAAATCTCCACTGGGTAGTGGTCATTAAGTGCTCTTACTCCCAGACTGCAATGACAGGAATTGGTAAAAGTTAATGTAAGTCAACAATAAAAACAAGGACAGCAACCAAAAATATATTCGTTTTGCTATGATCATTTGGCTTGAACAACCTCACAGAACGGACACGCTGGTATTGTCTAAGGCAATAACAGATAGTACAAGAACTCCAAAATGAAGGAGA